AAGGAATTGAGTGAGAGAAGGAGAAATAGAAAAAGAAGGAGAAGAAATTGACTAGAGAGAGAGAAGGAGAAGAAGAAGAAGAAGAAGAAGAAGAAGAAGGAAAAGAAATTGAGTAGAGAAGAAGAAGAAGAAGATGAAGAAGAAGAAGAAAGGAAAAGTAATTGAGTAGAGAAGGAGAAATAGAAAAAGAAGGAGAAGAAATTGACTAGAGAGAGAGAGGAGGAGGAAGAAGAAGAAGAAGAAGAAGAAGAAGAAGAAGAAGAAGAAGAAGAAGAAAAGAAATTGAGTAGAGAAGAAGAAGAAGAAGAAGAAGAAGAAGAAGAAGAAGGAAGAAGAAGAAGAAGAAGAAGAAGAATAAAGGAAAAGAAATTGAGTAGAGGGGAAGAAGAAGAAAAAGAAGTAGAAGAAATTAAGTGGAGAAGGAGAAAAGGAAGACGAAAAATAAGGAATAGAAAAGAAGAAGAAGAAGGAGAAGAAGAAGAAGAAGAAGAAGAAGAAGAAGAAGAAGAATTAAAAAAAATATGAGATGGAAGGAAAAAAAAATGTGTACAGAGCTTCATTACGTACGCAGTAAATATAATCGATTGAAAAAGAAAATATTGAATTTATTGATACATTTTTGTTTTCATTCTTTATACACCTGACGCAAGATATCTTATAAACTTATATAAGTTAGTTCAAAGGAAAAACAAAAAAAAAATACCCCCAAACCAAGCGTATCTCTGACCCCTGACCTCCAAACACCGTTAGTGATCTTTGTGCAACAAAAAAAAAAAAAAAAAAAACAAAAAAAAAACAACGGAAACGTATAGATTTATTAATATTTACTCAATTTCAGTTAATATGGAGCCAGGTAGAGGTATCCTTCGATTAATGCTTGTTCAATTAATGCGTACCTTTAGTGTACTAAATGTTTTATATACCAAAGATCGATTATTCCCTACGCAATACTAGATTAGTGCAGTAAAACATACTTAAGTTTCACCAGAGTAACTAAAAGAATTTCCATCTCTATATATACATGTATGCAAAATCCTACATATTCAGATTTTTTTTTTATTATGATAGTTACCGACGTACACATGGAGGCAGCGGCTCAGATTGAGAAATCAGAGAGCCGAGTTCGAGTTCCAGTCGCATCCATTGCATTCCCTTACGTGCTAATACCATTGGGAAAGGTATGAATCCTTTTCTCCAACCAGCACCTTTTGTGTTCATATGTAGGCTTTTTTAAAGATTTCTGCATCTTTCTCTGATATATTGTGAGGAACAATTTTGGCTATTTATTTTACATATGCCTGATTCTGAATTAGTATTGTTATGGGTGTTACGAAGACGCACCGTGGAGTAATGGATTACAGCTCAGATTGAGGAATCGGAGAGTCGATTTCGAAATCCATTAGATTAACTTACGTGTTAATACCCTTAGGAAAGGTATGGATACCCTTCTTCTCCCCCAGCTATGGGTAAATAGCAGAACAGACCGGGTTCTATAGCCTTGGATGCTAATTGGTCTACCGCAGAAATAAATGGCAACCTACTGTGGGAAAAAATCTGCCTCGTCAGTTATGTATCGGATACGTGTGTATCACGCATGGCACATACCTGATGTACACAACAGTCGCACTAATCGAGAATGAATTTACCTGATTCTATTGATAGATACCATGAAAATCGGCATACGAACCAGAGCTGAGCTCGAAAACTGAATTTTTAGAACCACTTCTGGGGCAAATAATGAGAAAAGAGGGCTTGGAAAATCTGATACTCACAGGACAGATTGAAAGTAAGAGGGACAGAGTAAAAAAAAGTATAACAGACTTGATAAGATTTGGGAACCTCGAGGTGATGTAATGGTAAGCAAGTTTCTCGCGTTAGAACAATTACAACTTAACAGCGAGTTCGATCCTTATTAGGAACTTGTTGCTTTCGGCCTTGTGCCACATCTAAGCTACGCTTGGAAAATCGCTACTTGTCGATCTTGAGTAAATGGATGCCGGAAAAGGGCTTAGGAGATATAGCAAAAAGATATAATTTATTAAGAGCTTCAAAGAACAGGAAGTTGTGGAGAACCATGATCGCCTACATCATGATGGGACGCGTCATATTAGTAAGGGTTAGCGTGAAAAAGTAAATGCCCCACTCGCTAAAGATATTCACCTGTTCACATTTACGGAATTTCGTTCGTTCCGACACTTGAGTTGAGTAAGTGCAAATCGAAATCGTTTTTTTTTTTTTGTTATTTTTTCCCCAAAAGAATTGAACAGCAACTGTTAACGATGATAGTAAACGCAGTTACCCCAGTCTACGAATATATCTGTTTTTATAATAATATTAGTATTTTAATAGGACGGCTTCTCAATGCCATTATGCTGTTCTACCGAAGGCATTCGGGATTCCGATTAGAGAAAGAACTGTAGAAACTCAACGTAAATTAAGTTCAAAGGAGTGACGTTTGACGTGTGAGTAAAAGATTTTACGAAGACTAGCTCTTGCGCAAATGATATCAGAAAGGAAAGTCATATTAAACATTCACCCCACTCTCTCTCTCTTCCTCCATTCTCCCTCTCTCTATCTATCCCATTCTACGCTTATCTATCTATCTATCTATCTATCTATCTATCTATCTATCTATCTATCTATCTATCTATCTAATTCTACGCTTGTCTGCATATCTATCTATCTATCTATCTATCTATCTATCTATCTATCTAATTAATACGCTTGTCTGCATATCTATTCATCTATCATTCATCTATCTATCATCTATCTATCTATCTATCTCTTTCTAAGCATATATCTATCTATCTATCTATCTATCTATCTATATCTTTCTAAGCATCTATCTATCTATCTATCTATCTATCTATCTATCTATCTATCTAATTCTACGCTTGTCTGCATGTCTGCCTGCCTGCCTGCCTGTCTGTCTGTCTATCTATCTATCTATCTATCTATCTATCTATCTCTTTCTAAGCTTATATCTATCTATCTATCTATCTATCTATCTATCTATCTCTTTCTAAGCTTATATCTATCTATCTATCTATCTATCTATCTATCTATTTCATTCTACGCTTGTCTGTCTGTCTATCTATCTATATATTTATCTATCTTTTTCTAAGCTTATATCTATCTATCTATCTATCTATCTATCTATCTATCTATCTATCTATCTATTTCTACGCACACATACACATATATAAATCGGGATAGTGATGACAGTAGAAGAAAAATATTTTTACATGGTCGTTTAATAAAAAAGAATTATATGCTAAAAACAGATGATAAAAGTAATGCAACTATATTAAAATCTTTACACACACACTCACACATACATACATATATATATATATATATATATATATATATATATATATATATATATATATATATATATATATATATTAGGAAAATACAATGATAAGGTGGAATTTTTATTATTTTTTTGTTGTTAGAATTGAATACACCAAAAAATATTTTATTCCGATAATGCTAGAAAAAAGTGGGGAGCGTCACACAAGTTTTTTTAGCTTTATCATTAATTTTTCGAACATCGTTCTTTTATTTATTTATTTATTTATTTTTTATTTATTGATGGTTCGCCCAATACAAGGCCCAAGGGTCACTCAAGGTAGAGGGTGCCGGAATGAGATTGTTGTAAGGCAGGCAGAAGGAGAAATTCAGAAATGAATATAAAAATTCATGTCATATTCTCCCTCCAACACGCACGTGCGAGCGTACTCCGCACACATAGTTATATGTACACATCTTCTACGTGTGGCACAAGGTCGAAAGTATGGGGACTCATTGAAGAACGAACCTTTAGCAAGATTGTCTTGCGAGAACAATTAGTTCTCGCAAGACAAGCTTGCTAAACATTATACCATACGAGGTCATTGCACACACACACACTCTCACACACACACATATATAGTTATATAAAAGATTTATTTTCAAACAAACTCGAGATGCGCGATAGTTTATAATCAATATGGAAACATATACGACTAAACAGACATACTGTGTCGGTCGATCTTAATAAATCTTTTAGGAATAAATTACTGCCTATATATATATATATATATATATATATATATATATATATATATATATATATATATATATATAGAGAGAGAGAGAGAGAGAGAGAGAAGAGAAATTAAATAGGTCAATGTTTGGTCCTTATCCCTACTTACTAACTATTAAGTAGTGTAATAAAAATAAATTTAAAATCATTCCTATCTCTCTCTTCCATCTCTAATTTCGACCATGTCCCTCACCATTTCTCCCCACTCTCTATATCACCTTAGATCAACATAATACTACCCCTCAAAAGTGTATAAAAAATATATGGAAATTTAAATTCATTTTTTCACCCTTGGAAGTGTTGTCTGATGAGCCAGGGAAAAAGAAATTCCCTGGGGAAATAAATTATAACCAATGGAACATTAAAGTTGTCTGTTTTCATTGAATTAATCTGTCTGATTTAACACTGAGCTCTCTGGATTTCATCCTCCTTGAGATCATCCATACGGATTACCAAGATTTATATATATATATATATATATATATATATATATATTCTAACACATTCTAGATTTATATATATATATATATATATATATATATATATATATATATATATATATATATATTCTAACACATTCTAGATGCGCGATGATTTATAATCCAAATGGAAATATATAATATACGATTAAACATACACACTTTTGTCGGTCGATCTTAATAAAACTTTTGGGAATAAAATTTATTGACCATATATATATATATATATATATATATATATATATATATAATTTATGTTATGATATTACACTGAAAATATGTCAAAATCTACACAAGTGTGAAGAGATAAATATAATAATGTATCTCATCTTACCTATATATATATATATATATATATATATATATATATATATATATATATGTGTGTGTGTGTGTTTGTGTGTTTGTTTGTGTCTGAATTGGGATCAAATTGATCAAATATGGATCGGAATCTCTGAGAATGATCCGATCCAGAACAAATAGGTAATGCTTATATATCTAACAGGTTTCGCTTTTATTAAAACTTCATAAAAAAAAGACGGTCAAATAAAAATATACATGATAAAGTACAAATTAGAAACTTTTATCAATCTAACATGTTTCGGTTTTATTGAATCTTCTTCAGAGAATGAGATAACCCATTCTATGGTGAAGCTTTAATGAAAATAAAACATGAGACTGATAAACGTTTCCTATTTTGTTATATTATCATAGAGAGAAGGACGGTGCATAGGGTCTCCGCTCCTCGAATCTATAAAAGGCACCCCGTTGTATTTCATCTCAATTATCATAAGGAAGTATTCATATAAAATACAAATCTTATTGTAACATAATTATGTACAATAATAGAAAAACTGAAAATAAATACAATGTAACTAAATACAAATTAGTGACATGTCAACACAAATCATTCCATCTAAAAGAAATCAACGATGTTTTGCGGCAATTTTTAACACCAACTTGAGATTTTTATTGCTAAAAAGTTGAATAATTTAACACATGAATAGAAATTAGGGAATTTCATATAGTGTTTGTATTTTTTAAAACTTTTTTTAGCACGCTCAAAAAGATTGAACGAGAAAAAAAAAGACGACAAAATGACGTCAAAGATCGTGAAAATTTGTCATCGTTTAATAGTCAGTTGTGCTTCATTTTTATTTGTAACGTATATATATATATATATATGGGTGGGAAAACGCATGTTGATGAAGATAAAGCGAGTCACTAAGTACTGTCCGGAGAACCCAATCAGGCTTGTGGGGTTTTATCAGATGCGGGCGTTGTGGCTAAATTTAGAGTTATGTTATAAAAAAAAAGAGTCTTCCTCAAATCACAGATGAAATTAATAAACTGGAGAAAAAAAGTAATTGCCCTGAACTTTGACAATCAGAAGGAAGTGAATTGTATGATTTCAGAGAACCGTTACATCGGAAAGAAAAGACGTCCTTCATTCGTTTCTTTTCTTTCTTTCTTTTTTTTTTCTTTCTTTTTTGAACATCGCTGGAACATGGAACATCAATACAGAAGAAAAAAAAAATTAAAAAAAACAGACATTTGTAACAAAACTGATTTTTTTATTTGATTTAAATATTTCTAAAAATTGAACTGGGTTTTATTTTATAAAGTAATAAATAAAAAAAAAATATGAGAAAAAAATAAATGAAAGGGTGTTATGTAAAAATTTAAAGTTCTGTCCTCGATAAAAAAAAAATATATATATATAGGATCCATATACGCAAAAAGAAAGAACCAAGAACATTAAAACAAGGCGAAAACAATCGTCAAGTGTTTAAGCTCCAAGTCCAAAGAAAAAAAATCCAAAACAAGTAAAAAGACAACGACGTAAAGTGCTCACGACACTAAGTAGAGTGAACATAAAATAATCCTAAGGAGCCAGGCAAACGGATCTTCAGGGTAAGGCCGGCTTTATATATATATATATATATATATATATATATATATATATAGTGAGATATTTTTACTTTAATTAAGAAATAATTCTAATGAATTTTTATAGTAATTTATAGTTTCTGAAATGAAAGAACGAAATAAAAAATATCCATTTCAACTCTCCAATATAATACATTTTTATAAAGAACAAATATTTTAAATCTAACACACACACACACACGCGCGCTCGCGTATATATACGTATGTATGTATATTTATATACACACAGACACGAAATGCTGCAAAAAAATTCTCGAATCACACACACACATACATACATATATGCTAACCATTACGTAGGTATATATATGTAATTTCTGAATCTTTTTTTTTTATCCGACATTATTTTTTTAATACAACAGTGTGAGGCAGAAATACCTCCCACATATACCTTCCAATTACAGTCTAACCATTATGTGTGAGGCATTTCTTTGGTTTATGGGAGGGAGTGATTCTGCAACCCCACCCCGTATAAACCTTGTTTTCTTTTTTTTTTTCAACAGTGAAATCTATAACAAATGGTCAAGAAAGAGAATCACCAAAGAAAGATTGGGCCTCCGACTGGAATCGAAACTGTATCTCCTTATCCATAAGAGATTCCGTTTCTGTAGCCAAAACGAGATATTTTTTCGTAGAATTTCTCAATCTATGCCGGTTCTATATATATATATATATATATATATATATATATATATATATATATATATATATATATATATATATATATATATATATATATATATATATATATATATATATATATATATATATATATATATATATCGGCATGACTGAAATAACACCACCAAATTGAGCGATAAGTTTTTCCACTTTAATACTATTAAGGGTCTATTTACCTTTTGATATCGAGCAATTAATGACAAAACTTACCTCTTTAAAATGCCTTTCCATCAGTAAACTAGGGAAAAAGAACCATTAATTTTAGCCCTTAAAAATCATACAAATTAATTTATATATATATATATATATATATATATATATATGCCCACGCAAACACACACATATGTATATATATATATATATATATATATATAGCTGACTACTGACATATACACACATATTTATATAACACTGATCACTACATATGTATATAAAAGACGATATTTAATCTATATTTCAGAAACATATATATATATATATATATATATATATATATATATATATATATATATATATATTAAGGGTAAAGAATCGGTTACCATGTTGAGAAAGGGAATACAGTTCGATTCCTCTCAGAAGCACAAACTTATTTTGGTAAGATTTTCAATCTAGTCAGGTTGTTATTACATTCGCTAAGAAAGACAGAACGACATGTATAGCAACACGAACACGGGTAACCGCTAAGAATAAGGTTAATATCAATAAGTAATAATTCTAGATAAAATCTCCATTAAAAATTACACATATATTGATGAAATGGTCACATGTTTATCTGTTTACACATACACACACACACTTTATATCTATCTATCTATATATCATCTATCTATCTATCTATAGGACTTCAATTTGTCTTACAATTCCTCAATATATACAATATATATATATATATATATATATATATATATATATATATATATATATATATATATATATATATATATATATATGTATGTAATTAATTGTAGGGATAATTCCAAGGAGAACACTAATACATACTATATATATATATATATATATATATATATATATATATATATATATATATATATATTGAGGAATTGTATATATTGAGGAAATTTTAAGACCAAATTGAAGTCCTAACTGATGAAACGCGATGGACAAACTTTTTTCCATTTTGCCTTAAAATTTACTCAATACCGTTCTTGGTATATAAAATATATATCGTTGTCTCATATATATATATATATATATATATATATATATATATTTATCATTAAATTTTTAGTAATGAATCGATTTTTAAAATATATATATATACATATATATATATATATATATATATATATATATATATATATATATATATATAATAAATAAATATAAGAAGTAATAAATTAATTTTTTAAAATATATATGTTTGTGTGTGTAATGTTTTAATAAGACACTGACAACATACATGCATATCTCTTGTGACGTTCACACATACACACGCATATATATGTGTGTGGGTTTTTGATTTCATAATTAAATCATTGTAAAATAATATAAAGAGATTCATTGTTTTTTTTTAAATTTCTTTTACATTATATATAAGTATAGCTTGATACTTACCTATTTTGTACTGCTTGTAATTTCAAATAATTTTTAATTGTTTGTTCTTTGGTATCAGAAACGAAAAAAGAAGGTCTTCTTTTTTGGTTTTCTTCCTTTTTTGCGTGGTAATATATATTAAACGTGTATCCAATGTAAGCGAAATCTCATTGTGTGAAAAGTGCTCTCGCGTCAAAAGATTTTGTCGGATTTCAAACTTTTTTTGTTGGGCGTTTACGAAGTGTAAATTAAAAAAAATAAAATTATATTATAAATTTGATGCAAAAAAAAAAGAAAGTTCCAGAAACACACACACAAAAAAAAAAAAAAAAAAAATTGGATGCAATGAAACTCAAAAAAAATAAAACAACAGCCCAGTATTAAATAATTAAATAAATAAATGGATAAAAAAGATACGGTAAAAAACAAAAAAAAAACAAAAAAAAAAAACAGAAAAAGAAAAAAGTTAAATCAAAAGAAAAAAAAAAAGTTGCTGTTATGAAGTGGGGATGGTAAGCTGGTTGACTGTCGGGTACGTATAGAGGTATAATACCATTTATAAAGAAATAAATAAATAAATAAAAATAAAAGAAGCGGGTAGATTATATCTGTTGAACTTTGAAAGTACCCGGGTGGGAAGAAGGTTTTACTGTTTAGTGTTTCGAGATATGAAAGCTAGAGGAAGATTTTCATTCGAATGACGTTTGATTTCAACGCGTCTTGAAAAGCAAAGCGAAAACGATGTAGTAGTAGTAGTAATAGCGAAAGTGATCGTGATAGTAATAGTAGTAGTTATAGTAATCGTCGTTGAAGTTGCTGTCGGAAGAATCGTAGCGATGTACGGACGCGCATGCGCGTGTGTTTGCTTATTTACGTGAAAGTGCGTCCGTTCAACTCATATTTGCGAATGTATGTTTGGTTATCGCGTATCGTTTATATAATCGATAAGATTTCTAAGTCGATGTAACTATGCGATTTTTACAAGCGATATGGAAGTTACTGCGATTCTAACAGACTCACACAATCATATATTTACATAGAGACTATTTACTCAAGCACATAGACACACAAAATTAGATTTGAGAGAGACATATCGGGACAGAAGACCAATTCACAGTAGTCCTAAACATTAACCTAGTATTCATTGAAGAGGCACCTCTTCTTTTTTTTTTTCTTTTCTGGGATAGCCGCCTGTGAGAATCGAAATAACAAAACTTGGGAATTGGTCGACGAGACGAGCTTGCTAAACACACACTATCATACGGAGGAACATATACAAATATATTGACGGAAAGGAATTTCCAGGAAAAAAAAAAAAGAAAGAAAGAAAGAAAGAAAAAGATAACGAGGAAGAAAAACACTGCGAACAAAAGAAACAACACTGGATGGTGATAGGCAGTTTCACGCCTTCAAATAATGGTATAATGACTACTTAGAACGTGAAACTGACAGTCACCATACAGTGATGATTCCCACGTCCACGCTGTTAATATCTGCATAAACACTGTTCTCCGTATGTAACTCGCTTTCCCTACAAATATGAAAGTTTGAAACAATATTTAAAAGTGTTGTTGAAAACTCATGAATCCAAAACGATAAGACAGTCCACTGTTTCACTCTCAGTGTTTGTTTCTCTCTGTTTGTATATCTCTCTTCCCCTCTATTTCTCTCTCTCTCTCTCTCTATATATATATATATATATATATATATATATATATATATATATATATATATATATGAGAGAGATATATTATATTATTAAAAAATTCTAGCGCAATGGTTTCTAATCCAAATGGAAATATATAATATACAATTAAACAGAGATAATTTGTCGGCCGATTTTAATAATAATAATAATAATAATAATAATAATAATAATAATAATAATAATAATAATAATATATATATATATATATATATATATATATATATGTGTGTGTGTTTTTGTGTATTTTCAAACATATTCTAGACGCGCGATTGTTTTTAATCCAAATGGAAACAAAATATACGATTAAGCAGACATAATTTGGCGGTCGTTCTGAATAAAAAATTTTGGCAATAATTTCTAACTACACACACACACACACACACACACACACACATATATATATATATATATATATATATATATATATATATATATATATATATATATATCATTCTTTATAAGCGGAATTTTATTTTATAAATTTTGTGGGAGGATAATAATGGTTGTAGTGGTATAAGTCATACTATTTAACCCATAGAAGAGTTGGTTTCATTTCTTTCCCAAGAATATTTGCTCGTAAGTGAATATATCGAACCTAACAGAAACTGGAACTCCGGCTCTCCGATTAACAATTCCGAGCCATTAGCCACTAAACAATTCTTTTATCCAAAATTAAACACCAAGTATTCCGAAGCGGTCACCCATCCAGGTACTGAAGAGGCTCCACGTTGTTTAACTTGGGTGATCGTACGGGAACATGTTTTTCAAGTGAACCTGCATAGCGTTTCTTTCTTTCTTTCTTTCTTTCTTTCTTTCTTTCTTTCTTTCTTTCTTTCTTTTCCCTTCCTTCACTCTATAATTTCTTCTTCCTTAATATCCTTTCTTTCTTATTTTCCTTTCCTCTCCCTTGTTTTCTTCCTTCCTTTCTTTCTTTCTTTCTTTCTTTCTTTATTTATTTATTTATTTATTTATTTCTTTCTTTCTTTCTTTCTTTCTTTCTTTCTTTCTTTCTTTTCCTTCCTTCACTTCATGATATTATATTCTATTTTGTATCGAGCACTTATAAAATAAACGCTAAAACGGTGGAGTAATGGATAGCGGCTCGGATTGAGGAATCGGAGAGCCGAGTTCGAATTCCATTACATTCACATACGTGCTAATTACCCTTGGGAAAAGTATCAATCTTCATCTCCTGCCTCCCGCTATGGGTAAATAGCAGGATAGACCGGGTTCTTTAGCCTTGGATGGCAACTGGCCTACCGCAGAAAGAAGTAGGGGAAAAATCTGCCTTGTCAGTCATGTATCGAAAGATACATGATCGCCTAAGTATGTATCACGCATGACATCGGCCGAGTGAAAGAACTATGGATTAATCTGACTTTTCTTTCTCTTTATCTATCTATCTATATATAGGTGGCCTGACGATTGCATATAGCATGAAACACACTGTCGCCTCTAAGTGTTGACTTCTATGTTTACTTTTATATTTACACACGCTCTATCTCTGATATTGAGCACTTTATCCCATAAATATAACACACCTTAAGACTATATATATATATATATATCATTAAAGACGACAGACCAGCTTTTTAATTTTTCTTGTGTTCGAATCGAACAAGTGTTTTGTATTCTGGGTCAAATGTCTTGTAATTCCAAGCGAATTAAGCTATACATTTACCCATTAACAAGGACGATTAGTTTTTCTTGAACTGGATGTTAATAATTACATCGGTCACACTACTACATGCCTATCTAGACGAGTTACGTTACACCTATCTGCCCACAGCTACATTAGAACTCATTTAAACACACACACACACACACACACACACACACACACACACAAACCTACCAGGCTCCATCCGAAATGTACTAGTAGAAAATATAAGCAAAATTACACTTGTAAAAAAGACTAAAAATAATGGAAGCCTTAATAATAAAAAAGAAAAGTTCAACACTGAATAATATTAGCTAAGTACACAGCCATAAAATATTGACTGTGTTCGGAAAATAAAATATCCCTATAACTCTATATACATAGACACAAATCATATATCTAGTTTTAAAAAAAAAATCCTTGATAATGGCTAAAAGTATAACTGAAAGCGCTCAGAATTACAGAACATTTGGTCAGATTCTACAATCTTTGTTCAGAAAAGAAAACACTTATTCGAACTAAAGAAAAATCAATAAGAAGCTTAATCCCCTACCTTATCGGTCGTCTTTATGGTAAACGCAATCATCAGTCCTGACCATTGCGTTTAGCAAGAAACAGATTCTTGGTGTTGACTTCAGTATCCACTTTTATATATATATATATATATATATATATATATATATATATGCGTGTGTGTTAAATTGTGTGAATATTAGGTGCCATAATTGCTGTTTCTTTTACCGTAGCTTGCTTGTGGAAAGGCATTATATATATATATATATATATATATATATATATATATATATATATATATATATATATATATATATGTGTGTGTGTGTGTGTGTGTATGTATTATTAGAAATTCTGTATATATATATATATATATATATATAGATAATATTAGTGGTAAATATACATACCTATACGAAATATATAACATCTCTCTCTCCCCACCACGTCTTTCCCTCCCTCTTACTCTAACATTAAATTGTCTATGGTGTGTGTATGTCACCATGAAATGTATCTTTACACTTCTGACAGCATTCCTTTTTCTCTTACTTAAACCCCTTCCACCCACCTCTCCTAATATTCTCTCTGTTATGGTTTGATTTCCCTACCCCTCATACTTACACTCTCTCTAAATTCTGTTTTTATTTCCGGAGTTGTTTTTTGTTGTTTTCCTTTTGAATTTGTAGGTCTGATGATTTGGATCGTATTTACGATTCCAATGGAATAAATTATGACCATGGAATATTAGTGTTTAAGCCTTTTTATTATATATATATATATATATATATATATATATATATACAGAATATCAGTGTCCACTTTTACATTTACATACGCTCTATCCATGATACTGAGTACTTTAACCCATAAATATAGCATAACTTAATATATATATATATATAAGAAGTTTTCATTCAATTTTTCTACATTTCGGAATATTAATTGTTTCCTGGGAGAATTTGAGTTTAATTTTTTTTAATACATGTGTCGCTCTCTCTCTCTCTGTCTCTGTCTTTCTACACCCTCTCTCTCTCTGTCTGTCATGTTTTAATAATATTTTATTTAAAAAATTTTACATCGCGACACAGAAATTTCTGTTTCGGAGTTTGAAATTTGTTCCATTATCAAGTAATGTTTGTTAACTGAAAAACTGCCAAACATCACTTGATAATGGATCAAAGTTAAAGTTCTGATACACACAAATGCCCGTGCCACGATGTAAAATATTTTTAAATAAAATACTATTAAAATATGCTCCACGTTGTATCGAGCCCTTCTTAAAAAAGTAAATGCTAAAGAATTGTGGGTTCTTAATCTGATTTTTCTTTCTCTTTATATATATATATATATATATATATATATATCGACGAGTGTTTGAAAATGTCTCTATTGAGGGAGAAAGAATCAGAATGACCTTTTCTTTAATCTTGGATGAAATTTCTCTAGAATTTGATCCTTAATTTTCAAATATACACATGCACACTCACGCACACACACACACACACACACACACACACACACACACACACACATATATATATATATATATATGCTCTGTTATAATAAATACATTGAGCTCTTTTTGTAGATCAGTTTTAATATTTTATATTACTAGGATCCACTTAAGTTATATAGCAACGGATATATATATATATATATATATATATATATATATATATATTAGGATATTTAAACAAAGACATGTTAAAAATCGCTACACAATGCCAATTATGTATCAACACTACAAATGTGTCTCCTCGGGTGATGGTAATCTACTGGCAAATGAACGATTAATTTAATTTCAAAAGCAGAATACTTCATCGTTTTTCGAGAAAACTTGTCGGCTTCACCGTGATTAATCAATCTAATGAGACCTATGCTAAATTCAAACTCACCGAATAAAAAAAATTAATATATGCCATGACACGAAGTTGACAATTTCATTATGGACAGATACAAATGGTTGCATTATTTCGTAAAATGTTTAGAAGTTTCGCGTTCAACTTTCCTAAGAAGTATAAGCGAAAGAGGTAGGAAGGTAATTTAACAAAATGTTAACTAGTCATATGCTCGGTCAGCCTCCAACATAAAATTTTGTAGTTAATAAATAAAAGGCCCATTTAAAAACAGGTAAATAACTTAACCGTTCGAAAAAAAAAAAAAAAAGATCATAAATACAAAAACTACTGTGGCAAATTAATATGAAACAGTTCAGAAAAGAACATCCATATAAGATGTTAATAATACCAATTAATCAATGTTAGATATCAGTAATACTAAATAAACATCTGTACATCCATATAAGATGTTAGTAATATTAACTAAACATTAACACAGAACTATATTAAATCAAAATTAATCTACCAAAAAGTAGAATAGTAAGCCATATAATATGCACCGCAGTCCATCTATTGATTATTACAATAACAAGAATGATTACCAAATTGAAAGTTTAAGCATATCGTGAGGTAAAATGCTTACAATTAACTGTCAATTCTCTTCTTTAGTTTAATAAGGAGTTTTTATCAGAAAATCTGAATATTTCGAACTTTTCATGTAAGCATAGAAAACAGGATTCATTTAAAGATCTACATATTCTAGGTTTTTAATTTTTTTCATTTTACTTTAGGAGCTTTATTAGATTATTTTAAATTCCAAATATATTTAGAAAAAGATGTACTATTTTTATAAGTACTATTGGTGAAGAATAAGATACATTAGTACCACCTAGTCGTAAAAGAATTCTTAGTACTAACAATATAATTTTATTAACAGTCGAATTCTCTTTTGTAGAAATAGTACTTAGATAACAAGATAATTGGTTAGACTTTTATTTCGTAATGGGCATTCGTTAAAATTCTTGCAATAGCATTGTTTAATATTATCAACAGTATTTATATTGGAATATTCATTATTATCCATATTTTTAATTTGGTTTAAAATTTTATTATTGTGTTTCTTTAAAATCTTCTTAAGACTATTGGCGCAGCTATAATTTAGTTTTAGCGCGTTTCTGTCAAATATTTTACAAAGTGGGTTGTTTTCAGGGAAATGTTAATCAATTAAATGGAGGAACTTCTGGCCTATTTTTAATTCTGTTTGTTTTTAGAAGTATTCTGCTTTTGAAGTTAAGTTAACCGTTCACTTGCCAGTAGCTTATCATCGCCCGAGGAGACACATTTATAGTGCTGAAACATAATTGGAATGGTGTAGCGATTCGTAACATGTTTTGTTTTTAATTATCCTAAAATAGATAATATTTATCAATAATCTATATTCAGCCTTTTTAAAATTAAATGTTACTGACAGTGGAATTATAGTCAATGTTTTCTCATTTTACCTGCACACACACACACACACACACACACACACACATATATATATATATATATATATATATATATATATATATATATATATATATATATATACATGTGTGTCTGTGTGTGTAAATAGATACGTATGCGTATTTGTATGTGTGTTATGGGGTAGAGAAAAGCAGCGTGATATATTCCTTGCTTGTAGGAAGCCCCATTTTTTTAGTGAGGGCTGCGAGGCGCACTTAAATTTTAAACCGAAAAAAATATGTAACCATCATTAGGCCGTAGGATTTTCCATAAGAATCCTCCTTTGATTCCCTCTAAACATTTCTCTTTCTTTCTTTAGTTATGAATTCGATTCAAACTCTCCCTGCTTCTTACTCTCCATTTGCATCCGTTTCTCCCCAGTACTCTCACTCTTTACGTCTCTATTCTGTCCTCGCTGCCCAATTTTCAGTATATATATATATATATATATATATATATATATATAGTTACAATATTATATATATATATATATATATATATATATATATATATATATATAAAAACAAGTTAGAATATATATATATATATAT